GGAAGTAACTATGACAAATCATTATAAGGGTTTCCCTTGGTTGGTAGATTTTTGTCTGTGAAGCATATCAGTGGATATTTTGAGGTGTGTAGTGGGGACATGATCATCGAGCATACTTCTCCTGAATGAAGCCTCATTAAACTGACTCAAAGGGTGACCTTGCCTTCATCTCCCACGAGGAAAGCAGGTACGATGCCTGCTACATAGAATACTTTAGTTTGAGAGGGTTCATTAAAAGCTCCTTTTGTTGGGGTATTTTCTTGGCGTTTGGGTAACCGCCCCAGGTGCTACAAACTCTTTTGGTGTTTTAGCTTTGATCAATTCTTCAATTAGATTATAGAGTCTTCAGCATTCATGTATGTCATGTCAGTGGTCTCGATAATATGAGTAGTACCTCTTTGGGTCTCAAAGGTAGTTCTTAAACCTTCATTGGTGACGACTTCTTAAAATACTCTTTATTCTGAATGGTTTCCACTACTTAGGCCATCGAGACCCTTAATGGCAGGTGGGGAAGTTCATGGGTCAACGATGGCCTTCTTTTATTGTGATGTTCCACCCTTCATTCAGAGTATTGAATCCTAACTTTTTGTGGGTGACTTCTTTCTGGCACTTAGACATCATAGAGATTCTTGGAAACAAGCTCTGGTCGACAGATGGGGGTTGCGCATTGTATTCCAAGCTTTTATATGGGTGTTTCTCTAGTTGACATATGATTCTAGGAGAACTCTAGTAACTTAGCCAACATTTATTGGCGTTGTAATCCCAACGCATAACAGAATGGTCCCTCATTGAGCCCTTGGGCAAAGACTGACTAAGCAACTGTATGCTCTAGATCTCAAACATCAAGGATTTCTCTTTGTAAGTGGGTAATGAAGGAGCGTAAAGTCTCACCTGGCCCTTGACGTAACTACAGGAGGATTAAGCTCTTGTAAGATTTGTGTGAACTAGTGAATTGTTCTATAAACATTATTTTAAATTCCATGAATGTTGTGATCACTCCCGATGGTAGCCCGTTCAACCATTAAGAAGTTGATTGCCGCAAAGTTTTGAAGAACAGTAGACACTTCAGTATGTTATTTTACTGATTAGTTTGGTGGCGTATTCAAAGGAAATGATATGTTCAGTTGGATCCAACCATCCTCGGTAAGATTCCAGTTCCAGGATCATGAAACGCTCAATGGGCTCAGTCTAAAAAATCTTCTTGGAAAAGGCATGTTCTAGTTGCATCAGCCATGACATTTTGGTGCGCTTATATCGATGGTGGTCAATAGGCATTTAACTTGCGCTATCTAAGTAGTGTCTTATTTTCTTTATGGGGTCGAAAGAGGTATTCTGATGATCAGTATAGCCTTCTTTGCGAATAATGGGATGTTCTTGGTTACGGCGATGGGACTTTATCATGAACTAGCGAGCATTTGATGGCTTTCATTACCTGTAAATTCGTTAATTTGTTGTAATACAAATTCTCAAGTGCATTCCATGTTGTTCACAATTTATGTCTATTAAAGTTCTTCTCGTATAGTTATTCTTCTTGTTTATGAAATGATCTACACTCATCGTATCTTTTAGGGTATTAAATCCAAATTTGTCTATGGATCACATACAAGAAATTGAATGCAAAAAGAGAAAGAGAATGTGCAAAAGATGTGAGGAATTAAATATTTTCACATATGATTTCAACAGCCTCTTTTACGTTTAATATTCCTCTATTTATATAGATGACTAAGGATTTTGTGAAATGACAATTATACTCATGTTGCTTTTTAATTTGTTGACTCTATCAATCAGTATCTTGTTGTACGATCGCCAATTATTTTGTGGTTTGATCTTCTGCCAGCTTTTTTTTTTTTTTTTTCTGAGCCTTCCCTAAGTCGATTGACTTATAACTCGATTTGTCTCTGGATCATTTTTTCCCATTCGACTACTCGGACATCATTCGGTCTTTTGATTCGTTCATTCTTTGGGTCAGTCACTTGATTGATATTTGAGCTCTAATATTTTCATCTTCTAGGTGGGTTGACCTCAAAACCTTCCAAGAGATGTTTTTATTCATTCTGATTGGCAACCTATACTTGCTCGAAACTGCTCGATTCGTAGAGGATTTGATCAAGGCCATTTTGATTTTATATTATATATATTACTCAAATCATTGATACCACATAAAAATATTATTTCCATTATTTTTTTAAGAATGAATTACATATTTGAATGTATAAATTCAATTCAATGTAAATATTAAATTTAGAAGATTTACATGCATATCACTCAATTCCTATATATTGGCATATCTAACACCTACACTTTATTTTTTACATGCATGGAAAAAAGATATTTCATTTTCTCAAAAATTAAAATTAAGATATTTTTGAGGTAATATGAAAGATTTATATGGTATAATTATAAACCTAAAATGTATAGGTATTATATATATAAATACATACATAGGAATTATGTGATATGCTTTTCATCTTGCACATTCAATAAAGACAAGGCAAAAAAAACACCCAAAAAAATCGTACGTCAAAATCATAACATTTAATGACTTACGCCGAAAGCCTGAGTAACATCGGTAACATCACATCACATCAACCCTCATTTGGGACGAAAACTTCAACCGTTTTAATCTCATCATTCAATAAACAATAATGTAAGCAAAGCAATACTGAGCTAAGAAACCCAATTAGTACGTCTAGGCATTTTGGCCTATGCTAGATGTTCAGAGGGTATTTAAGAGTTATAGGTAGATCACAGAAATATAACTTCTCAGTACTACTGAGCTAAGAAACCCAATTAGTACGTCTAGGCAATTTTGCCTGTTCAGAGGGTATTTAAGAGTTATAGGTAGATTACAGAAATATAACTTCTCAGTATTCACTGAATAACTTCTAACATACGCAACTCTGCATATGTTTTATGTATACGAATTTTTCTCCAATTTTAGATGATAGAACACTAGAACTAAAATTTAAATTCATATAAAAAATAAAATCATTTCGAACTCAAAATTCCATCCAAACTGTTAAGTTCGGCTTAAAAAAAACTTTTTTTTTTTTCTGTTAATTGAAATTTGAGCCTCTAACGTTCTCAATCTAAAGTAAATAATAGCAATTAATCAAAATTAGTGGTGCGGTGAAATTAATGTAAAATCTATTAATTTTATAAATATTAGCATGACTTGTAAAAAATAATATTTCCAAAGATAAAGGAAGGGTTCAATATCAAGCCTATTTTCAAATCTCCACACAAATACTGTGTAGTTTTTGGGATTTATGATTCAAGTTTTTATATGGTGTCTAGTGATTTTATTTTGCTAGATATTGGTCATGATCATACTCCTGTTAATAACTTCACTCTGGAAGTTATCTTCCTGCTTTACAAACCTCTGCAATTAATCCAAAAGGCCATTGTTGCCAATATTACTAATCTGGGTGATAGCATAAAAAGTAAGGTTCAAATCTACCCTCATCCGAACAAAAAAAATAATACATCAGGAGTCCTAATATAAAACTGTATCAACTCTAGCCACAATGCAGCGCGTGTACTGTTCGGCCCAGTCATGCAGTAAACTATTTAGTTTTTGGTATTCAATGAGGTCAGATCGTACACGTGACACATTGTAATTAGAATCCTGATGCAACTTTATATGAGGACTTGATGTAATATTTTTTTCTTCCAAACTCGGTTCTTTTTGTATTCTATAGATGTAGATAATCCGAACAAGTCAATTTTTTGGCCCAATAACTTACATGAAAATAAGCACAAAAATCTTAGGAAGCCCACTCGTTACATTAGATATATATATATTTTTTTCAAATTCCTCATGTTATATGATACAATTGAGTGGAAAATAGAGTATAGCTTTCTTAGCACTCTTCTATCCAGCTTTTATGATTATCATTCATTAATGACAATCATTTCCTTGAAAAAATACTAAAAAAGTTTAATCTATTTTATAATATTCAAATTTTATTTAGAAAAAAGTACAATCAAATATATAAAACATGAATAAAACTTGCTTCAAATAAACTGTTTTCACATAAAGCTTTTCATTCAGCACTAAAAAGATTAGCTCTCATTCTATTGCACAATCTAGTGCATCTATAGCAAGCAATCTCACAATGCTCATTTTACTATATTAAACTCTATAAAACCATTTAATGATTTTCAGCATAATTTATTAAGTTGAAGTAGTGTTGCACTTTTCTCTATTGCATTGTTTTATTTTATAACTTTAATTCCCACATTATTTAAAAACACTAGAAAATCAATTTTAAAGTTTTGACTCAGTCAAAAGTCCTCTCAAAATTGTTGCCTCATTCATTTCAATACTAGATAAACTCTAAACATGATTTCCATTGGAAAAGACTATATTTATCTCAGCAATATCTTCATATTTCCTTAAATACTCAAGTTCCCTTGTAGAAGCTTGTGGTATAATAGTTTTGACTCCCTCATATAGAAAAAGAAATCTGAAATTCTAATGATAGCTCCTTCTTGATATATTTGCCTTATAAAGGAAAAATGTCAATTCCTAACCAACTAATGTTTTCCACTATTTCCAAAAGTATTAAATACTTGATGATTACACTTGATAAGAAACTTTCCAAGGAAAAATCCGTAAAACAATGATAGCTTAGAATAAATTTTTTATGACAATCAGGTTGGCATGCATATATCTTGGTCCAATAAATAATCTAAACCTAAGCAAAAGAACTCAGTAAACAATATCCACAGCAGCAAAAGCAAATTAAAAAAAAAAAACTCGCATTCTTCATATGAAGATATCAGCATATATATTTACAAATCTATGGAGGTTTAGATACAGACCTGATAAGTTACATATGAAGTATCTATGAAGATCTTAAACTGTAGCTGGCCATCTAAAATATTGATCTAGAGAGAGACTATTGTTTCTGCGTCGTACGCCGTACATCATATCACACCTTGATGCATCAAGTCATCGGTGAACAGGTCCGCCTGCTTTGAGAGACTATTGTTTCAGCAACTCGAATAATCCTGGTAGCTGAGGTTCAGAAATTGGCATGCAATTCTGCAGATAAATAACTAAATTCAACATTCCTTAACACATGCTGGACAGTGTGAAGGAAAAGAAAGAAAAGAGAAAAGAGAAGGATGAGAGAGAAAAAGAGTGCAAGAGATAGAAATTAGGAGAGAACAAATTATAAAATTCTCACCTATGTTGTCTCTTCCACTTTCTTTTTTCTCTTGTATTAAGCATAAGGAGGAAAGTAGAACATTTCAACCAATTCTTCGCCCATTTTGTGCCTTAAGAATTGGTAGTAGAGCAAGTTTCAGGAAAAAGAAGCAAAGGAATGTCTCTAATTCTTGATCCGCTGCCCCAGAAGGATGCTAGGCTCAAGCCAACTATGGCCATCACCACCACGGAGCAGGCAGCAGGAACTGCTTGGCTGCTCCCGAGGAACTGGGTTGCAAGGAGGCCAGCAAGGGTCGAGCTTTGCATTCCTGTGCAGAGTGATATTGTTCTACACACAGGTTCTTGCCTGAAAAATATTGTAACAAGATCATTAGAAATAGCCAAGCGACAATGATTTTGACTTTGAAGGATGAAAGAGAAAAAAAATAGCTGAATTACTGGTTTACTGTAAGGCATGTTTGTTTAGTTCATAGAATGGAAGTGGGGGAGAAGAAATGCTTATTTGGTTATCATGAAATATGAGTAGTCTTTCCTCTTTTTACATAAAGGATATCGAATCTATCAGTTCCCACCAAGCAACTCACTCTTCATTTATTAGAAAAAGTCTCTTCGCAATAATTATTAACAAGATCTAGGTTAAAATTAAAGCATAAACAAATGAAAATGTTACCTAAAAAACTTTCTAAATGAAAACTTTAAAAAAATTAATTGGAAAGGGTATAGCAAACATTGTAGTGAATTATAGATCCAAAAAGAATAGAGTGGAAATAACTCTTAAAAAGGTACATAAAGGCAAGGTTAGGATCAAGATAATATAACTATGTATGCTTGAAGAGCTATAGGGGTTATTTTAGTGATCTGGTTAACAAATTTTTTTTATTGGATAAATATTTTTAAGATAGAGAAGTCAATTGATTGGAGAAATATTTTAAAACCATTGCTTAAAAATAAAAACGATGTTTAAGATTGTTCTTTACAGAGGATTAAACTTATGCTGAAGCTAGCTGAAGCTATCTCAAAGTCTCAAAGAGAGAGAGAGAGAGAGAGATGCTTGAAAAGATTACATGAATTTCAAAGAGTTTTAGTTTTATGCCAAAAAAGAACTACTAATGAAATTACGTGTGAAGATATTTAATGAAAAAGTACTAAAAGTAAAGGATCATCAAATAATTTTTATTGATCACAAAAAGGCATGTAATTGAATATCACAAAAATTGATTCGATGTGTTTTAAAGCACAAGAGTGTGTATCATATTTGTATCATACAGACACACACACACACACATACATACATAAATACCTACATACATATTATACATACATGTGTGTGCGCGTGTAGAGAGAGAGAGAGAGAGAGAGCATTAGCTGGTAGAAAAAATAGTTACGAAGTTACCCTAGATTTTCCAATTTCTACAGATATACATCAAGATTCAATATTGAAACCCTTTTTGAATTGCCTACGAAGAGACTTACAAGTAATATTAAAAATGAGGTGCCCAGATGAATGGGTTTTTGCAAAATACAGAGTTCTAATTAGCATACACTTAAATGAGTTAAAACTTGGAACAATGGAAGAAAGGTTTAGAAGATACTAGTCTAACATAAGATGAATAAATATTGAGTATATGATGTATAGTTTTAACAAGTAATGATATTGATAATTATCATTCACTATTATTAAAAGATAAGGTGTAGCTAAGTGTGCGGCTTAAATATGTTGAATCATTTATGCAAAAGAATGAAAAATATGAAAAGGAATAAAATTTCTAAAGTTAAGATTAAATACTTAAAAATAGAGAAGTATTTTATGAGTCTTGTGTGATAAGAGGATGTCATGGAGGCTTTAGAAGAAATTTACAAAGCCGGCAATATTTTATGGATCCAAATATTTGGTTGTAAAAAATATAATTAATATACAAGTTGATTGTGATAGAAGAATCCAAAGATGAATGCGTGGGAAAATATGAAAAAAACATTTAAAGAATGATGACAAATAAATAAATAAATAAAGTGTCACCCACTGATGTTAATATGACTGAAAATAGACTAAAATAGTTTGTACACGTATAATCAAGGTTAGAAAATGTAAAATGACTGAAAATAGACTAAAATAGTTTGTACACGTATAATCAAGGTTAGAAAATGCATTTATAAGGCTAGTTGATAAAATTAAGGTCAGAATATTAGGAAGGGAAAGGGATAGCCTAAAGGCTAAATAGCTAAAAAATGTTCAGAAATTATATGTGAAAAGTGGGTTTAATTGCTCAAACAAAACTTAAAAAAAAGGAAAGAAAAATAAGGATATATAATGTAGAGCCCAAATAGTTGGGACAAGCTAATATGATAGAAATAATGATAATGACTACAGTAAATGTCTGCTAAGGAGAGAATCTGAAAAAGAAATATTTCCCAAAGAAATACGCATTGATAGTTCTACTCCCTTAGCGAGAAACAAATGCATTTATTATCTTATATTTGCAGACTAATCAAAAATTTATGTCCCACCACATTACATGAAGCTCCCATTCTTCCAGATTGTACACAAACAAAATAAAATTGTTTCTTGCTTACCAATAAAAATCTAAATGCTAAAGAATGTTTAATTTTTCATTTTACGATGTCTTAACAGACAAAATTGTACAGGATGTGTTTCATTAACAAATAATTTAAAAGGAAATAAATTTCGATAGAATGTTCTTTAAATTTAGCTTAGGTTGTGAGGCATGCCATGATTTTTCAAAAAATATTTCACATTCGGAGCTTAGGACCCGACAATGACAATGTTCAACATATGTGGCCACCTAAAAGACACAAATAAAATTATAAAGATTGTAAGGTTGTTCCAAATGACAATTTAAATTTAGCTTAAGTTTATGCATATATCTTTCATTCACCAGGTAATTTGATTGTTTTCTTATGAGAAACAAAAATTGTTAAAAATGTAAAGATTGTAAGGTCATTCTACGTGAAAATTTAAATACTCAACAATCATTATTAGTTTCGAATGTTAAGATGAACAATTCGAAGATAAAAAATATCATGAAACATTATCATAAAATTAGATAGAGGCAACTAAAAGATATAAATAAAATTATTTTTATGAGTAAGCTTAAAGAATTCAAGATTTGGAATGTTCACAAAAAAACAAATTGTTTATGGGATAAAGTAAAAAAATGAATTAAACATGGGACAAAAGACGTACTTGAAGTGTTAAAAAGAAAAATTTTTATAAATAAAAATAATTGATCGTGAAATAATATGCAAGAAAATATAAAATATAGAAAGATATATTATAAAAAATGGTTTAAATGTAACAGCACATAGAACTGGTAAGAATATAAGGTGGCTTGTGGGGAGTTTAAGAGAACAATCTGTGATGCTGTGAATTTTGCTTTTAGTAATTTTCATAATTATATATAAATTTAAAAAGACTGATCGCCGATCAACCCCATAGTCTGACTGAGGAGCGGACCCCCTTCCAGAAAGGTGTGCAATTCGATCCTACGTAGGGATCGAACACCCAACTCGAGGAACTTACACCAAAGACCGCAATCAATGAGTCAGACTAAGGCACGGGTGAATATATATATATATACATATATATATAAACTAGTCAAACAAACAAAAATGAAAAGTAAAAATTTAATTCAAGTGTAAGATGAACAATCAAAATGTGTTTTTCTTAAATGATGATATTCAACATACGTGAGTGGGATATTTTGATAAACTTTTCAATAAAATTTCTTAAAGTGCAATCGACCTTATTGATCTTAATATCGTTAATGATAATAAAACTTTTTATTTTTACAGTCGCATTAGTAAAAAAGAAAGTTGAGAAGGCTTTAAGGAAAACTAAAGGTGGAAAATCAGTGGGACCTGATGATAAAGGGGATTCACAAGAGTGTGCACATTAAAGAGGAATTAAGTTAAAGTGTTGTATACTAAAATTATGGGAGAGAGAAATTAAATATAGATTAAGATGTGATACAAATATCTCATCATCAATTTGAATTTATGTCGAGCCAAGTTTACTATAGAAGCTATACATTTATTGAGAAATTTGATGGAGAAGTACAGAGAAATAAGGAGGATTTACATGTGATTTTTATTGATTTAGAAAAAAATACAATAAGATTTCAGGAGAAGTTCTTCGAAGAGTTCTAGAAATAAAGGTGTTGATATGACTTATACTAGAGCTATTACTTGTGTTCGAGCAGAAGGTGGATCGAACAAATATCTTCCTATTTCAATTGGATTACATCAGGGATCGGCTTTAAGCATATATCTTTTTGCTTTAATAATAAAAACTCTTACTAGACATTTATAGGTGGAAAACCTTGGTGAATGCTTTTCCCAGATGATATCCTTTTTGCGGATGAGACTAGAGAAAGAGTTTGGAAAAAAAAACTTGAATTGTGGAGGTCTACATTAGAGTCTAAAGGCCTTCGTTTGAGTTAATCTAAAATTGAATGCAGAATGTAATTTTAGTAATAATAGTTCTAATGGCAAAGTTGTAACTTTGGGTGATCAAATCATTAAAAGTTATAAATGTTTTAGATATCTTTGGTCTATTGTTCGTTCAAAGTGATCATGATACAGATAAAGATGTTATTAATAGAATTCAAGTTGATTGGTTGAAGTGTAGGAATGCATCAGGCCTATTGTGTGATAGAGAAGTACCGCTCAGACTTAAAAAAAAACTTATAAGATGGTGAAAAGACATGCAATGTTTTATGGCGCAAAATGTTGGCCTTTAAAATTAAATCATAAAACTAAGTTAAGAGTTGCTAAGAAGAGAATGCGTAGGTGGATGAGTTGCTTGACGCTTGGAGACAAAGTGTGAAATGAATTTATGCGTGAAAGGGTAGGTGCAATTCCAGTGGAAGAAAAAATTAGAGAGAGTCGTCTTAGATGGTTTGATCACATTAAACGTCGACTAGTTGATGATCCGGTTAGAAGAGTAAAAGTTTTAAATTCTACTCATACTAAGAAAGACAGATATAAACCTATGAAAACTTGGGCATATTGTATAAAAAATGATCTTAATTTATTAGAATAAAATGAAAATATGACACTCAATGGGACACAATGGAGAAAAGGATTCATGTAGCGGACCTCACAGGGGTCGTTTGGGGGTGCGGTTTACCAGCAGCACGTCTCCAAACCACGGTTAATATTCGTTTGTTTCGGTGTTTGCTCTTCTGAGGGGAGTGTTTTTAATGAAACGCGGGTCGCGGGTTCGACCCTGCGGCCCGCGTTGCTTCGTTTTATTTGTCGAAGCTACCCTTGCCTTTCAACTTTGCTTTCTCCTCTTCTGCCCTAATTGTCCCGCGGAGTGCTCCCGCATTCCTACCAATCTCAGAGAATCCTAAACAACCCGCTTTCACATTATTTTGCTCTAACCCTCTCTCTCGCATTATTTCGAGACTTATGTGTTTCTTCCTGCAGTATTCTCTGTCCTTTAAACCTGCATCTCCCGCTTTCGTGAGTTTAGTTGTTGGTTTTTCAGAGAGATGCAAAAATGTGATGGTACCAAGTTATTTTGTGCAATTGATTTATGTTTCTATTCGTAATATGTGAGGGTATTGAGTGTTGGTGATGGTGGTTTTGGTTGTTGTTCGTTTGTTTCATTATTTTGAGATGCTGAGGATGAGATGCTGATTTTGGTTGTTGTTTTGATTTTAAGCATTGGTGATGGTAGCTTTGTTATTGCTTTGGTGGGGTGTTGGATTTGTAGTTTTGTTATTTCATTGGTGATGGTGGCTTTGATGAGATGTGACTTTCAGTTTTAAAATTAAAATAATCAAAATTTTCATTGTAATTTTAATAATTGTTTTTCTTTTTTTATGAATCTTAATACTGACTATTAAGCGAGGATTGTTACATCTTTTTTTTTTTACTGTTATGTATTAGTTTTCTGCTTCTACGGTATCAGATATATTGTCAAGACATTTATATTACAAACAGCATTACCTAACAGGGGCAGAATAGTCATTTATCCACAAACAGTTGCAAATCAGTTGTTTTCAAACAGCTGCACCAAACAACCAACCAACTTATCCGGATAAGTTGTTGATCAGCAATTTATCAGGATAATTTGTTTATCACCAGATTAGTCAATAAGCTGCAGTTGACCCAAACAGATCCTTAGTGGGATAAAGGCTTGTTGTTAAGTTTATTCACCTAAAGAATAGCCCAACAGATCCTGATTTCGAATTCAATCAAATCCATCATTGTCCTTATGAGTTATCTATGATTGTAGCAAATTCATCCTTCTGGTCCAACCGTATTACCTCAAACCAGACCATTGCAAGAAATGGCCCGCTAGTTGTTAGGATGTACAATTAGTACCATCAATAGCTTGATATTCAACCCAAGTTTTCCAAAAAATTTCATCCCTGAAAAGGGCACCTCAAAAAATTCATAAATTCAATTGCCACAAACTTGAGATAGCACTGTTGAATTAAGTAGCAACTTCGGCATTTACAATTAAAAGCAAGTATTTATGACCTACAGGTATTCAAGGTTTTCAAAGACTTGTTTCTAGACAAAAAAAAAGGTGAAATGACATGTGAGAAAATAGCAACCATATAAATGCCTTCTGATGAATAACCACATATAAAATCACTAATCCCTATAATTGCATCCCTAATAAAAAACACTTGCTAATTTAAACTAGCTACCCAACCAAGAAGAAAAGGTTGTCGATTAATTTAATAAAAATTTCAGGAAGCAATAATTCTGTCAATTAAAAACCCAAAAGATCCAAGTGCTTGATGGAAAGAGGAGTGCTTAGAGGACTCCAACACACCATCTTTACTCTAATTGGCCTAATCCGTTTTTTTAAAGAGGTTACCTGGAGTACGTTTTTACATAAAGAAGAAGCACTAACTTTCAAACTGAGATCTTCAGATATGATTGAGCTATTCTGAAAAGAGTGTATACAAGGAGTTGATGAAGTACATAAAATGGTAAAAATGCATTTTGTTCCACATATCATAAAGTTTAAGAAATCATTGATGAGCACAAATACTTTGAAACTTGACATGTACATAAAAAAATGGTAACTTGGAAGCCCAATAACCCAATGCAAAGGCTGCAACATGGAATGTCACTATGGGTAGAAGCAATAGGTGACCTTCTGAAGATAGAATTTGGCTCCTATTAATAGCAAGAGGACTTCCAATACACAACGCTGTGCAAAACATGGCAAGAAAAGACATTATAGGTCGAATAATATTCACCACAGATTTTGCATATGTGTTGAGGATGAGACCAGCAGTGACAGGAATAAGCACAACCTGGGAATCAGCATAGTAACTTAGTACTTCCATTGCAAATTCATATATTTATATCGTATATGATAGAAGTAATGGTGATGATTCTATATATTGTTCAGCCAATTGCAACACAACAATTTGTTTAAGGTACAATACTTGCCAATGATTAAAAGGATTCCATCATGCATTACATTTGGAGGAAAAAAATAAATCCTGCTTCAGCAAGAAAATAATATAAAACACTAAATTTGCTAATTTAGATTAGATTCGAATTATAAAGCAATCATGGATGTAATGATAAAATCATGTTAATAGTTTGATTTGTTTTATTTAAGGCTTAATTATTTTTCCTTGTCATTCTTTTTTTCTCGATTTTTAATCTTTAATATTCAATTAAACCAAGAATATACCGAATACCCAATATCCTTGTATGTCTCACCATATCTTTTAAATATTTTCTCCGCATCCTTTACATTTATGTCAATATTGCCTCATCAATTAAAATTGTCATTTGAAAACTTAAGAAGAAGAAAAAGCATAAATCATCATAACACACTCTACAACATCTTCTATAAACCACTGCATAATCAACAAGTAAATTAATAAGTCATTTAGTAAATAACTATGCCTAGTTTAGTTCATTGAAACAAAGTTCTCAAACCCAAGCAGAAAGCTGTTGCAATGCAGCATATAAAGTTGTTCACAAAATTAAAAACACATTTCTAAAAAGCACACAAACCTCAAAAGAACATTTTGCTAAAGCTTATAGAGCACAATAAGGAGGAAGGAGCGAAAGAGGCACTTTACTTCTTCATTGAGTTGCTTCCCAATTCTTTTCTCAATTGGAGGGA